GAGCGGCTCAGGCCTGGCAGCCGCGCCTCCAAGGTCTCCGCGGACTCGCGCAGGCGCACTAGGCCCGCGAGCGGACAACGACGCTGTCACCGAGCGGCGTCGCCTGAGCCCCGCGCAAGGGCACAACACTGCCCCCTGGCGGAGGAGGTCTGCAGGCGCAGCGGGTTGGCAGGGCTAGCCATAGTGGGCGTGGCTATGCAGATATGTCTAAACGCTCCGAGGCCTAGCAATAGGCCCTGCCTGGAAGAGGGCTGCTGCAGCTCAGCTCAGTGTCTCCTTCCATGCAGCAGGCTGTACAAGAGTAATAGAGATGTAGCCCTGTTAGTCTGGGGTAGCTGAAACAAAAAACAGGACAATGTAGCACTTTAAAGACTAACAAGATGGTTTATTAGGTGATGAGCTTGCGGGGGGCCAGACCCACTTCCTCCGATCAAATTGTGGAAGAAAATAGGCATAATAGGTATACATGGTCATGCCTATTTTCTTCCACAGTTTGATCTGAGGAAGTGGGTCTGGTCCATGAAAGCTCATCACCTAATAAACTGTAAACTAACTGTACAGGAGAGTTGCAATACAGCTTCCTACAGCCACTATCTCGCCACAGATTTCAGGGCCCTCCAGGAGCAAGGGTTAAAATCTCTCTGTGGTATTTTGAAGTGAGTGAACATTGGTGGGGGAAATACATTTTCTTTAAAACCAGATCTACAGGGCCAAGGAGACTAGGGCTTTGCATAGTTCTTGTAGGTAGGATGGCAGGTGCCACAAATATAATGTTAAAGGAGCTGCATCATTCCTTCCAAGATGGCACCTTCTGTGCAGAGCACATTCACGCCTTCTGCACACTATGTCAGTCACTATCACGTTACTGTCATCCCATCCTCTGCGCTCTACAGGGGGCTGGAATCTATGCACTGGACAAGGGCAAAGATTGGGTGAATTGGAGACAGGAGCAGGGTGAGCTGATGGAGGCACATTATTCTCTTTCTTGCCTCAGAGACATTTCATTGGGCTGTTGTGATGTCTTAGGGATCGCCTACATATTCAAGTTACACAGCAACAAAACATTGTCACAATTTCAGGTTTTACATTTCTATACTAGATAAATCCCTTTTCTAATACCAGTTACCTTTTGCCTTTGAACAGTTCCCCAGCGTACGCCCTAGTCATGGGGGGAGGGTAGATCTAGCATTCACAGATAGCCTCCCACCATTGAAACTGTCTCTTGAGTTCTGGATAAAACTTCAGTTTCAAGCCTTCTTTTTAAAGGGCCTTTTTCTTCTTCCCCCTCGTCACCTTCCTTTCATGGCATAGTGATTCATGATTATTCAAAGTGGAGAGCCTGAGATGTTTCAAT